CTTGAAAGCAATTGTGTAGGAAAATGTGTTGAGGTTTTGTACGCATCCTTGTTGTGCTGGTTCTTCCTTGTTCCTGGTTGTGTTTGTCGTTTTATTGGAAGCAGCAGCTTTGTTGTTTCACTTCACTTCTCCATGTGGTGCTTTTGTTTATATTTTAGCACTTCACACTTCAAACTTGCAGCTATGGTTGCAGATGCAGCTACTGTTGCAGTCGTTGTCGCCTGAGGACGGAAGTTGCAAGTCTATTGCATGTCTTGGTTGGTTTGTGGTGATGTCGAGACATGAAGCAAATTTTTCCATTTAAATACTTCCGGTAGTAATGTTTTGGTTTTGTCTTGTTGGCAGTAATCGTTGTTTTTATTGTGGTTAGGTAAGTTTCAGTACATTCTCAAACAAGCAACTGACAAAATTTCATTCTTAAAGTGAATTTTAGAAAATGTTGCTATGTATTTCGAATTTTTGGTTTTTCCTTTTTTGGTTTGAAATTTGTTTAAAAATTTTTTTAAAACAATTATATTTGCTTGAATGTCGCATTTGTGGTGTAACATTTTAAATTAATTTATGTTTAAGAAATAGAAAAAGCATAAATGTAATAAATGCCATAAATGTAAGCAACACTTTACAGGGAAATATAGACCTTATAGTGGAATACTTTCAAAAAATGGAAGATTAAAATTAATAATGACAAAACAAAGGCTATATTTATCCTCCAAGAATGAGCGTTTGTGACACGGAGATACGGTGGGAGGATAACATAAAATATCTGGGGGTCACTTTTGACAAACGGTTCAATTGGCTTAAACATTTGAAATATAAACGGAATAGCTGCTCTAATATTCTACATTTATTAAAGCCGTTATTTAATAATTATCACTTCAACTTTAAAAACAGAAAGTTACTTTATACGCAAGTAATTATACCAGCACTACTATACGGATGTGTTACATATAGCAAAGCCTCAATTACTACCATAAAGCATTTACAAATAGCACAAAACCTGGCTTTAAGAAAACTGTTTAAGATTCCATGATACATTAGATCAACAGACATACATAGAGATCTTAGGATTGACTCAGTAAAAAAATATATCAGAGACAGAGCTTTAAAATTATTCATTAAAGTTGATACGCTACTTAACCCCACCCTAGCAATCCTCAAGTTCACTTCTGGACTCTCAGGAAGATATGCTAATTTAAGGTCCGTCATCAACTAAAAGACAAATAAATGATATGATTTCTTAGAATAGTTAAAGCCTAGTGTGGGGTAGAGATAAGCCCCCAGCATTTATAGAAGAAAAGTGCGTAATAGCACTAACTCAAGAAGAAGAATCAAGAAAAAGCATAATGACTATTATGGGATTTTTAAAAAATTTTTATAAATAAATTATTATATCATTACCGAACATCGGCAGCTAAGACCGAACATCGATTGTTATAAAAATATTATGATGATAACGATAACTTATATGAGCGAAATGAAAAACCATTGGTTGGATTTTTACTTTCAAATTATTATGTTGTATATATTTATAATCAATACAAATATTCTCAACATTTCAAAGTCAAGCAGACTTTTCTGAATATGAAGATTATTGTTTTATTTTACACATACATTTCAATAAAGACAGAATTAAATCTCAACTCTGAATCATTTAAAAAATAACAACATAAAAATTTTTGGCTTAGCATTTAATTTGAAAGATTATGAAATATAAATACAGTTTTTATGTCTTAACTTAGATATGTCAGATAACGATAACCAACAATTTTTTATTATAACCACAGTAATGATACGAGCCTATGCTCGTATCACTCAATTATCCTCTTATAAGTGTACTTAGCATCTATTTTTCATCAAGGCAATCTGCTCATTATACCAGAGCTTCAAGTTTTCATTTAAATACCGAAAAAACTCAGCACTCTGCTGATCCAATTGGGGATCCATGTTGGCATCGCTTGCATAGGCCTCCTCAATTGCACGCTGAGCTAAACATATGGCAGTCTCGTACTCATTGAGTTCCTGATACAGAAAAATGCACAAACTTAGGTGAATTGATAAGCTTAAAGGATGACGTTTTAAATAAGCGCCATTTGCCAATTCCAATGCCATACGATATGATTTTAAGACCTCATCCACTGATTCCTCTCTCAAATCTTCAAATTTAAACTCGCAAAAGACTTTGTAAAAGTCAGCCTTAAGCTTATAGTACATGATCTTTTTATGGACTGTATCAGTTGAAAAGTACAACTTCTCGTACATCTCAGTCATCATTTTAAAGCAAGTTTCACGGACTTCATTTTCAGCTTTTGTACGATAGTGATGTGCGAGTTGTGCATCTCGGAAGTGACGACGTGAGAGCTCTTCATTTTCTATATCACAGATTCTACGCCATATTGTTAGTTTCTCATAGAGTAAAAGCTTTGTCAATCCCGCTAAATACTCAACATGCTGTTGTAATTTATTCGGCTCCAATACGATGAGCTCATTATACTTCTCATAGGCCTCTTCATGTCTTTTATTCAATTTACTGACAAAAGTTCTAATAACTTGTAAGGTTGTGTTCCGTGGCAGCGTAACATGTTGCGCTTTCCTGACTTTTTTCTGTTTCATATATTTAATCATTTTAAAATTTATTTTTTTGTGACTAATAACGTATATTATGAATTTTGTTAACAAAAAAAGTTCGAAATAAAATTTTAATATGTGATTAAAATGTCATTAAATATATTAAATATTTAATACAGTGTATTATGTTGTCAACCTCTCCAACTGACAGAATTTACTTAGGTTGCTTTTGTTTTTAAGATAAATCATTGGTATAGATATCATGTTACTTGATTTACAACACTATAAGATATACTATAGCTAATTAGATTATGCTTATAATATTATATTCAATAAAATATTTAAGCTCGTCAAGATCCGACTTCTAAACACTATTGTACAAAAATGATATCATTAAATTTATTTATATTATATATAATTATTTCGGACGTTTTAGGTAAACAGTTCCCTAAAACGCTTCCTGCTCCTGTTCCCTGAAATGAATACAGCAAGGCTGCCAAAAGGTTTCAATCATCCCAACAGAATTGCTCTTCCTGAATAGAAAGAATATGTCGTTTTCTTGAAAAAATATAAAAATTCCAATCGCTTTTTCTGTGACAATCTGAGTTTGATCTGAACTAGTAGAAAAGTTTTGGATTGTAGATGTTATATCTACGTGATATTGATAAAATTGATATTGATAAAAATAATTGAATAAAAGCGAGCAAGTTATATATTGAGAGCAGGTGTTCGAAAAACTAGTAGGAAAGGGTTCATCGTATCGATGAGAAGTTGATACATTTCGACTATTCAAAGAGCAAAAGATCTGATGAAAAAGCCGGATATACGTCAATATCAAAGTCAAAACGAAATATTCACAGTCTCAAGGTTACGCTATAAATTTTATAAGATCGGTAATTTATAATCTATAAAAAGCTGTTAAATTCGAACAAAATGACTTTTTCTAGAACACAACTGAATCACTGCCTTAAAGAAGAAACGGTTGAAATATTCAAACGGCCAAAATATTCTTGGAAAATAACAAAGGAAATCTTGCTCTATTCTAAAGACATTGCCCTTTCTGATTATATTTATCGATGACTCATGATTTGGCTCAACAGCACTTCTATTCTTTCGAAGAAATCAAAAACTGTGTGGAAAACTTTTAACTTTCGTAGATTGCCTGGAGAGATAACAAGTTCTTTCGATACGAAATCTGTGTGCTGTTATTATGATGGAAAAAAGTAGTGACGAACAATAGATGATATTGCACCAAAGCTTCGTTTTTCTAATTTAAAGTTTGGTGAATATTTTCTTTTTTCAAAAGAAAAAAAAATACATTTTATCTACTATTTAAAGTACACATTATTTTTGTATATATGTGAGGCTTTGAACTTATTTTATATATACTGAGTGTTAATTCTTGTTAATCCTTACTTGATATGTTCTTAATATTAAATCAAATCAAGATCTTTACATAAAAAGAGAATATGCCGAAATAATTATTTCTATTTAGAGAATTGAAATAATAGTCTATACAATAAATAGAAGAAACAGGAAAACTTTATCTATTTTTTATACAATAGGTGTAATTCCTTTTCTTTATGTAGGAAAAATTCAAAGTATGCTGTAATTATCATTTACTTACTATTTTTATATTATTTAAAAAAATTATTTATTATTTATTTTGCTTACATAAAAAATAAAATTAAATTAATGAAAACTTATTATTTTTAAATTATAATAAATATATTATTATATATTCATTACGAAAAAATAATTGCTGTGTTTTGCTTGAGAGCATATTACTATGCGAATTTTAATATTATTTTTTATTAATAATAAGTTTAATATTTTTTTTATTAGTTTATTGTTATATTAATTTTTTTAATATTTTTTTTCTTTATATTATATGATATATTACTTTTGAGAGTTACCATATTTCATACAAATTCTAGTAATAACAAATTAAATTCAACAGTTTTTTAATTTAAATATATTTATTTATATACTCTATAATTGGAAACAATTTTGCTTATATGATTAATGTTTTATGTATTTTTGAAATGAAAACTTAATGACGAACAAATTTTAGATTGGATGGAATGTAAATATACAATTCATAGAAGTACAATATTTATAATAAAAAAACTTAACTAAATATTATTTAAGCAAAATTAAGGCGATTATGCATAAAAAATAATTATTAATAATAATAATAATAACTATAAAAATATATGATAATATATATAATAGTAATAATAATGAGTTAACATAAAAATGTTATTTAACATGAACGAGTGTAGGAATTACAGAAAATGTAACAAACTTGCTTAACCTAATGCTTGCAACATCCAAATGTTACAATTTCAGTCTATTCTGTGCTGGACTTTTGCATAAAATTTTTGCAATATTGCATTGTTAATTGTTGTATATTAAAATTTGCACTTATTTTAATGAATACAAAATAATTTTATATTAAGATATGAGTTAATATTTAGCCAAAAAGTACTTTTAAATTTATTTTACTTATGCTAAACAGAAAATCTTTTTCCAAAGCGGCGCTGGTGTTGGCGGTAATGTCTTTGGTACTAAGCCTTCCCAAATCGCTGTATCGAAAACTTCCTTGACTTTGTCCTTAAAAAAGAGAAGGGAGAAGATATTAGTTATATTGTTTAATTGTTTATCAATAAAGTATTAATATATATAGAAAAATATTTAAAAAAAATTTTATAAATTTTTATAAAATTTGCATAAAACTTACATAAAATTTATAGAAAATTTGCATAAAATTTACATAAAATTTATATATAGGGGTTTTCGAAAAGTAGTGAACTACAACAACAAAAATTTAATTATTAAATTTCAATACCTATCTGTTCGTAGAGGCATGACTTATATTTGCATAACTTATATTCCTTTTTATCTATAGTACATAATCTATATATAGGCGAGCTCTTATTTTGTGAATACAAGTGGTAATTTTCGAAAAGTAGTGAATACAACAACAAACATTCTTTTTTTATATTATTTTAATTAATTAAATTTTTTTCCGAGTATTGCCAAATATAAGTTCTTCCGAGTATTGCCAAATACACATCATCAGTGATCATCTTGAATTTAATATCTTACTTATTTATAATTCTTATTTATTTTATTAATTTTTTGTGATTGCAAGTAACAGGAATTAATCTCGTGCCCTGTCAGTTTTGAAGCTCAGAGTCAACGCTTCTTAACCAGCTAACTCAAAGCCGTATATGACTTTTATGTTCGCACTTTTTTTGGGAGTTTTGTTAATTTGCTGTGAAAGTTTTATTATCAAAACCACTTGCTGTGTTTATAAAATATATATAAAATGTATATAAAATATGAATCCGTATTCAAATTCACTATTATATTGTATTGTATTATATTCTATTTTTCTTGATTTTTCTTCTTGAGTTAGTGCTATTACGCACTTTTACTCTATAATGGCTGGGGCTTATCTCTACCCCACACTAGGCTTTAACTAGGCTAAGAAATCATATCATTTATTTGTTTTTTAGTTGATGACGGACCTTAAATCAGCATAACTTCCTAAGAGTCCAGAAGTGGACTTGAGGATTGTTAGGACGGGGTTAAGTAGCGTATCAACTTTAGTGAATAATTCTATTGAGTTGTAATAAACTATTATACACCTTTCTCAATACCTATTTATTTAAAGTTTGTGTTACAATATAACTACATTATACATGTCTACCTTGAATATTATATCGTTTTATAAAAAGGTTTTTTATCTACTAAAATAAAATGTTTTAAAAATATATGAATCCATATTTCCCTAACCTCTATTTTCACTTGTCAGTGCTTATTTTTCGCAAATTCTATTTATGTTTTTACTTTAAGTATTTTGACTCTGGGAATTCGCGACATTATAAATAAAAAATATATAAATTGCACAAATAAGAATATTTTGTGCAAGAAATTTGTCTGACTTGTTTATTTAACATTTCTTTGTATAAATTTTTATAAAGAAATTTGTTTTGCAATAAATGAAAATCCTTTAAAGGATTTACTTTGACACTTGCGCAGGCAACAGAGCGCGATATTCTAAGGTTGACGGATTTTTTTACTCGTAGTTGTTGTTTATTTTTGTGCCTTGATTCAAAAAGTTGTAAAAAAGACTGTAGTCTTGTGTAATAAAGTTTCCCAACGGAAGCCGTATTTTCACGCAATGTAAATGCAGAAGGAAGGACACATTCGCATATACATTCTGCGAGGCGCTTTGCACGAAATTGAATTTGATTTAAAACATTTACAAATAAATCCAGACGGATTTAGGCGCAGTGTGAGTGCAGGTTGACGCGTCTTACGCCTTCGGGATAAGCTTTTAAATACCTTTTCCCATAAGTTTTCCTTTGATACAATTTCATTAAATGTTAAGAAATTTCCATCACGTTGATTTAAATTAAAAATTTGCTTTCGGTCACAAAAGGATTAAGACTGACAGCAGTTTGCAGAGTATTTGCAGTTGCATTCGCAAACTTTTATCAAAACCTGTGTAATCTATTAAGTAAAGGTGGAAATCGTTGAGTCTTTTTCCACTTACCTGTGTTGCTGACGAAGTCTCAATGTATTTTGCGCCAATTGTAGTTGCTAGGTCCCAGGCATCCGTGTACGTTACTGGCTTCTCGCCTTTTGTCTGTGCGTGCCGGAAGTTGCAAACATATTTGCCAATTATTGTGAAAGATTCACACAAGAAACAAAGAGTGATGAGCATGAGCAAAGGAACGAAATATTAATCAAATGGAAACATAAATATTTAAAGGATTTGACTGCAATGATAAAGGAATTCCAAAAATATCATCGGAGTTATTGGCTTACCTGCAATTTATTCAGCACATTCGTATTTGTACGCAAATCTGCTTGAGTTCCGACCAATATCAATGTTGCCTTTGTTTTTGTGAATTTCGGTGCCCATTTCGTTTTGATGGCATGAAACGTTTCCGGTTTTGCCACTGAGAAACATAATAAGAAAACATCGCTGTCCGGATAACACAGCTCACGCAAAGGATCCAATGTATCTTGTCCAGCTGTATCACAGATGGTTAAGTGTACGGGACTATCGTTCACCATAACATCAGCTGAAAGCAATTAGAAAGATTTAAGTGTTATTCAGTGAGATTTATAGGGATTTATTAAGGATATGTATTAGTATATAGATGAAAGATGAAATATGTGGTCTGTAATTGTTTTTAATAAAATATAAATCAAGCACTGATTAATTTATAGGAAAATATAGCAGAAATAATTATTTTCGAAATTGGATGATAAACAAGTATGAGTTATACTACGTTCAGATACAACTTAATTTCGCAAAAATCTTAATTTCATTCTTGTTTCAGCGAAATTAAGTTCTTTTTTCCATACAGTTTTGAGGTTAGAACAAAATTAAGGAAAATGGCCTTAATTTCGTTGAAACGAAGGCTGACATTTCGAAGGGATATTTTAAATGCAACCATGCGTAAGATAAATTTTAAGCAAAAGATAAAGTTGAGATAACGAAAGAGTGACAAAAGCGGGAAAATATTTTAAAAGTAGTAGCAAAAATTTTTAAATTTGAATATAGAGAAAAAACTGACATTTATTAATTTAAAATAGAGTGAAAAATAATAATTCACACACCTTTAGTTATTATAAACAACTTTTATAATTTCCCAGATAAAAATAGTGTTTGGAGCAAAAAAATATGGAATTTGGAATTGGAACAAAAAATATATGATTTCCTTGATTTGGGGCAATATGAACACTTTCGAAATTAACTTAATTTAATTTTTACGAAATTAAGAAAATTTGGCTGTCTGAACATAGTATTAGTCTAATAATATAATAATATGTTTTTGTAGATGTAGAAAGCTTATAAGTCCTTTTTTTAATTAAACTTTAAACCTTACAAAATTTATTTATTAAAAATTAAAATAATTTAAATTTAAAGTAAAAATTTAAAAAAAATATATATATAAGAATTACAAAAAAGTTAATAAACTATAAATATTACTTAATGATGCCACATAAGTAAATAAAAACTTAAAATAAAAAATTATATTAAGATGTTATAATCATAAGTATTTATAAAAAAATAGCAGAAATATACAAAAACATTAATAAAAAACTATGATAATAAATATAGTAAATAAAAAACAATAAAAATTTTTAAAACCTTTGAAGTGTGATGTTTAAAAATATAATTTAAATATACAGAGATATAATATATATATCCTTAAAAAACACCATTTAAATATTTTATTAATTTTATTATTTCAAATAAAATTTTATTTAAAAGGCTAAATGCAATATAAATATTAATAAAAAAGGCAACCGATTCTATAAAAATTAACTAAAAAAAACTGGACATAGATAAAT